TACAGGGTTGCGGGGATGCTGGAGCCTATCCCAGCTGACGACGGGCGGAAGGCAGAGGACATCTTGAACTGGTCGCCAGTCAGTTGCATGACACAAATAGAGACAAACATTCACACCCACATTCACACCGCCACTAAGTTGGAACCAATCCCACGTTGCAAGCAAGTCAGGCGTGCACACCACTACGCCATTAGCGAATCATTTCATTTCATTTAAATGCAATTTTAAATTAAACAAATCAAACAATAAAATGAAATTAAAGATCAGCAGGCAGCTAGGACCCAAGAGACATTGAATAAGAAATGTGTCGTCACACACCATTGTGATGTTCCAGGAGCGAATTTGTGTAAAGTCCCTCATCAGGTACTGCCACGACAGAAGACTCTTCATGTTGATATACAACGTCTGCCACATGGACACCATCTGCTGATGACCTGTTTCCAGACTGGGCGTAGGAGATAGGCAACATCCATTGTTACACGACTGCACATACCACGGCCTCTGAGGATACTCTTGGAAACTCGATGAAATCACACAATCTCTCAGATGTATATTTTGCTTTCTCACCTGGACACACTGTCCATGGCATCCTTGTTTACTGGTGGAACCAGGAAGCAAACAGAAGGCACAGTTGCCTCATGTCCGGAGCGACTCAGAACCTTCCATTTGAAAGGCTGGGAGTTGTTGAGGAGTGCACACTCGTCTCCTTTATGAACAGTAATCTGTGAAGGAATAGAAAATTTAAGCCTACGATGGCTCTTTGGTGCTTGCTCCACTTCATCATTTTGCGTACTACAAGTAATCCGCACCTCTTGTTGTTTGAAGTCACAGACTGCCTGAATGGGCAGTTTGCCTTTGATGGATGTGGTGGGGTTACGTGGTTTCAGCTGAATGATGGAGCGAGCCCTCTTGTTAAGGCCATTCACGTGTGTCTTGAATTCATTCAACTGTTCTCGCTCCTCCTGTTGACACAGAAGCAAACTAGATTAAAACCGGGTGACAACTAGACCGTATGTGAAGGTATGTGGAAGCAATCACCCCTACCACAGTATCCTGCAGCAGATCCTCCAGGCGTGTGGCTGTGGTGGAACGATCACAATTGTATTTCTTATTCATAGTCTCCTGCATTTTTTTCATCTTGTCCTGAGCCTCTTTCACATCGGCAAAGAACTGTAATGGAGAGGACAAAAATATTCCACTTGGTTAAGCCATTATCCAGCCAGAAATTGGTTTGTTTGTTTTTTCACAGTTACAACTTTGTGCATGGAAA